CCCAATATGCCCAAATATCAAAGAGAAATTAAAAATGCATGCTGTGGAAGAGTTCGTGTCTTAGGAGGTTAAAGAAACAACCGAGGTGTTGGATTTGGAACAGATGGAAGGATACGTGTGATGTACTACACATCAACTGATTGTGTTTGTGTTTTATTAAAGATGGTGGCTTTTCATTTCAAGGTTTCTGGGTCTCTTCACTGTGCTTTGCTCCATCACTCTTGTGAACCTAGAACTAGTCCAGTATCGTATATATCTGTTTACAGTGACGTCAGTGCTACAAATGCTTCAAGAAAACAGTTTCAGCACAACAGGAAATTTAAAAAGCACCAGAAGCAAATTTACTTTTATTTTAAGGAATCAATTAAATGTAAAAACAACAATAAAGCTAGAAATTTCTGTGATGAATGTGTTTAAACTCGCATTGAACTACAGATGAACTCGGCTCAGTCTTAATGTTCTGTTTGACCTGTTAAGTGAAGTTATTTCTAACATTTATGATTTACAGTTTAAAATGTGAGAAACTGGAAATAAAATGTTTAAAAAACCTTTGATGATATAAACTTTGTCTCCATCTTATGAGTAAATATAATATATGAATAAAACACCAATATTATAAAGTTGGACCTTCATCAAACATCTCTGCAACTTTGTTCATACAAACTATTTCCAGCTCTGCTCTGTCAGTGTAAATATTAAATTTACTGTTAAACAACATAAGTTAGAGTTTATAAAGATGAAGATCAGGTGTGAGAATGTAAACTTTATCCATGATTACATTTGATTTCTGCCTGGTAATGTTTCACACTGAGGATCAGACCAAAGTGAGAATCAGTGACTCCATCAAAACAAACTGCACAAGTCTTCTCTGATATGCAGTTTAAGAGAGCTGAGCTTAAATGTGAATGCAGGTCTGAAAACAAAATCTGATTATGATTGTTTCAATAAAACAGCTTCAGCACAACAAGAATATTTAAAAACCAATAGACGCAAATAATTTCTTATTCTAAGGAGTCGGTTAAATATAAAAAGAACAATGAAAGTGAGTTTCTATGTTAAATAAATCTTAACTAACGACTGAATGTGTCTGAAAAGCTGATTTTCAGTCAAACACAACAACAACAGAATCACTGAATTTGATTTATTTCACGTCACACAGACATTTTGTGATTCTCAATAATCAAAGAGACCAAATAAAGAATAACATTGAGGTAAAAATCAAAGGTAGGACCTATTTTCATTCACTGAAACACTGAGACTGAGAGCGAAGTTTAAAAATCAAAAAACTGATTATAAGAGAGGATCAGAAGATTCAGAAATCTTTCAAACTGTGAGAGACGCCTGCTGCTGATTGAAGTTAAAAATAACGCAAGAAAAAATATTTTTAATCAAATCAAGTGTAGTTACACTGATGAGACAGTTTTTGAACTTAGAAGTCAATTCTTTGATTTATTTATTTTTTTAAGTAGATGTGTTACTTTAAAATGGTTGTTTAACTGAAAACAAGATGGTGATAATCAGGATAATTAGGATCCGGTAGTTTTAAAGTTGACTCTTGCTGGTGTGACACAAGTTTAATCATTAATCCTTTTTTCTTTTAAGAAGTGTCACAGTTTACTGTTCACACTCAACAACTTTGAAAAGCAAAGAAATCATCATCATTCAGATTTAAAAATTATCGAATATATTCACATGAACAACATGAATAATATTGAAAATATGAATTAAAAAAAAATATAAAAAGTAAAATTTCCTTACAGAAACTCGAGTGGGTCACAAGATTTTCACATAAAAAAAGTTGCTTTCGGTTCATTGAACTGCTAATAGTTCCACTAAATCAACAAAAAATAACTAAAACCCGATAATTAAGTTAGAAAGTTTGATGAATAATTTCCCTAAAATTAACCCTGCTGGACTGAAAAAACCCCAAAACAAGCAAGTTTATACTTTTGGCAATATATTGTACTTTACATGATATAAATAAAAAATTTCCCGGAGGGCCAATTGTGCTCACTGTTTTTGGACTGAAAATCTCATCTTCCAGTTTAGGAAAAACCTTCAAGAAAAATTACCACACAGACTGTTAAAATAAAGAATCACTTTACAATCAAATCTCATTCTCACAGATTTTGATTTCAGAGGTTTTGGCGTCTCCTGCCTTCCAAACATGAAAATATGGGAAGAGTTTCTCAGTGAAAGTGTCTCTGTGGGTGCAGATCAGAGTCATGTCTTCAGGGTCATAGAAGGACACCTCCCCCCTGTCATAGTCCAGCTGGACTCTGATCCTCTGGAGACTCTTCTTCACTGTCACAGTCTGACCATCACCATTAGTGTATTTTCCACTGTGATGGAATAAACACCAGATTCCATATTTTGGTGAAACAAAACACTCTCCCTTCCTCTCAACTGACTCTTTAATTAAACCCACATTCCAGTCAGGATGGTCTCCCACCTCCACCTCCCAGCTGTGTTTCCCTGAGCTGAAGCCCTCAGAGCCAAAAACAGTGGCATAATTTGTGTTTCTCTCTGGATTATCAGGAAGCTGCTGCTTTGTGTCTCTACGTATCACACTGGTCAGATCATCAGACAGATAAAGCCAGCCACTTGCAGTGTTTGGGTCCAGAATGACAGGACTGAAGTGGACCTTCTCCTTCATCTTCTCCCACACTCTGAAGGACAGGTTGCCCAGGTGTTTGGCCACATCTATCAGTGCTCCTGAGACCAGCTGTGGATCTGACACTGAGCTCTGGGCTCTGGCTCTGCTCTGAGTGTCTTTATAACTGCTGAGGAATGGCACGCTGTGTTTCTGCAGCTCTTCTTCAACAGCAGAGATGCTGTCTGACAGAGAGGAGATCTGCTCCTCAATCATCTTCATCTCTTTGCTGATAGTCCTCCCCTTCTGCTCCTCTTCCTCCCTCAGAGCTGCCAGTGTGGACTCCTCTTCCTCTTTCAGGAACTGCTGGAGCTTGTTGAACTCTGCTCTGATCTGCCTCTCTGTGGACAACAGCTGCTTCTTCATGTGTTCCCTCATTTCATTGTATGTTTCCTCCACTTGTTTGTATTTGTTCCTCTTGTCCTGCAGAGACTTTAAGTCAGATTTCAGCTGCTCCTTCAGGTCACTGACTGCTTCTTCTACAGGAACCACTTTGTGACTCTGGTGGAGAGAAAACTCACACACAGGACACACAGCTCTGTCTTCATCCTCACAGAACAGTTTATATCCTTCTTGATGTTTGTTGCAAACCACCACCACTTCTTTTTCTTTTTCTGTCAGATATGATTCAGATTTCTGTCTCAGTGTAAAGGAGTCAGCAAGTTGTTTCAGTGCAAAGTTGACAAATAGAACATCTTTTGAAGATTTTCTTTTACAACCTGGACAGTTTTTGTTTTTAGTTTGTTCCTTGTTGCAGGGAGCTTGAACAGAAGTTGTGGTTGCAGCTCAGAAACACAGGATCTCTGAAAGTCTTTGAACACACATGGCAGCTCAGGAAATTTTCAAGAACTTTTTCATCCATTTGATCTTCCTTCTTCACCAAATTCTTGTTGAATTGTCTATTTTTCATAGTCGTATTTTTCAGCAGGAGATCTCACACCTTGCAGTGGAATTTAAAGTCTGTGTGACAGTGTGGAAATGTTTTCATTCATGACTGTTAAAAACAAGTCAACCAGGCGATGGTGTTGTCGTAATACAATCTTAGAAGATCTTGGCAGTTTTGTTTCCATACAGAAAGAAAATAAAAGAAGAAAATTATATGTTGAGCTCTCAGGATTTGCTTTTACTTAAATAAAGTATAAAAATGACAGAAAGAAGGAGAAATCTGAGTTGTTTTAGTCTGCTGAGGAGAATTTCAACTGACAGATACTAAACCAGTTTTACAACATTTTTGTTTTTCAGCAACTGCCACAGGAAACACTTTCCCAGCATGACTTTAACAACAACATCAACATGCATAGAAAATAAAGAAATCTTTTCACATTTTTTATCAAATCCAAATCAAGACTGAACCAAAAGAGAAAGTGTAAAATGCTAAAAAAAAAAAAAGAGCAGTCATGTTTTAATCAAGATGATATAAAAGTCAGAAACAGACATATTGTTACAAAATGCCTATCCCAGCTGTCATATCGAGACACTCTAGTCTGCCCCAGGGCCAACACACGGAGACAGATGACTGTTTTCACCCACATTCACACCCACGGGCAATTTGAAATCATCAGTTAACTGTGGGAGTAGTTGGTGGAAACCCAGGCAAACAGAAAGCCAGTTTGTGGATTCAAACTCAGGACTTTCTTGCTTCTTGCCACCACGCTACCATATTCAGACACAGTACAAGGTTTTAATGAATGTATCTGCAATATTTTCAGAGATTAGTCTATTAGAAGCAAATCATATTACATATTAAAAAGTGTCATAGAGTGAAAATAAATTGTGTTATAATAGTGTTTTTCAAGTTCCTGGGTACCACCATGTCCCAGGAGGTGAAGTGGGAGTCAACATCTTAAAAAGACCCAGCAAAGGATGTACTTCCTGAGACAAGTGGGGAAGTACAGTCTTCCACATGAGCTGCTGATCCAGTTCTACACTGCGGTCACTGAGTCTGTCCTGTGCTCTTCCATCACAGTCTGGTATGGTGCAGCCACTAAACAGGACAGGTGCAGACTGCAGCGGACTGATCATCGGCGCCCCCCTGCCCTCCACCCAGGACCTGCACCTCTCAAGAACCAGGAAACACACAGGGAAAATCATCACAGACCCCTCACACCCTGGACACAGACTTTTTGACCTGCTGCCCTCTGACAGACGGTATAGAAGCCTGCAGACCAGGACCACCCGACACAGGAACATATTCTTTCCCCTCACCATCTCCCTCCTAAGTCTCACATTGCTTCACACTGCTAGACTGCAATAGATGTGTGTGTGTGTATTGAGTCATTTACATATTGTTGTGATCCGGTAGAGACACCATCTACCGGAAACAAATTCCTTGTATGTGTTTGAGCATATGCTTGGCCAATAAATGCAATTTTGATTGTGATTCTGTTGAGAAAATATCAACTTTGTCTCCATCTTGTGGTTTTTGCAGGAACAAAACTGTTCACAGTTGCGTCCACATGATCAGGTTTTATTGCAGTACATCAGGAGTCAGTGTTTGGTGAAATTATAAGTAGTGTGCATGAAGGTTGTGCTGTCCATTAGCAGGATGAGATCATTATTAAGCAACATTTCTTTTTTCTGAACATTAAAGAGAAATCTCAGTTTCAGATTTTTATTTTTTAATTTTTTAATTTTTGGAATTTTGGAATCACCTCACAACATGCTGGGAAAGGCCTAGCAGGGTAGACAAAGTTATTAAAGGAAAACAGAAAATCACCACTTCAGATCCACTGTCCCCTGCATAAATCAAGTCATGCTCCCTCCCAGTGTTTCATAGTGCCTGGGACGTCATGGGCCAGATTGTAGCAAAGCCACTCCAGACAGAAGAATAACCAAGTAGAGCACACGTGGATAAATAGGTGAAAACTACCTGTAGCCATTTCCTTTGACTGTGCTGGGTTCCTCATGTAGTTTGAAGTGACCAACAAAATGTTGGACTTATTATTAGTTGTTTTAGATATTGTAATGTTTTATTGTTTCTGTACTGATATATTGTTTTACTTAGTGATTCATAGTTTTATTCTCTGAAATGTTTTGATTCTATTGGCATGCTGGGAATTCACTCACTTTGTCTGCTGATAGAATTTGTTTACATGTTTGTTTAGTGGGGTTGGTTGGCTTCCTGCAGTTGTCAGATATGTCTTCTCATGTTTTTCCCATTTTTCATACAGTTTTAGTAATGTTTTTAATAAATAGCCAGTTACGGCACTTAACCTGCACTTACTGTTTTGGCTTCTTATTGAAGCCTCTGTGTCATTTACCCTGGTCTTACTGTTTTTATTTATTTATCCTATTTTTCTATTCCTTTCAAATGTGTCTGCTAGTGGATCTCTGTGACACCGGATGAGGCAAACAGAAACCTCTAAGTTGCTCTAATAAGTTTTCTTTGTCATGTACTGTGTGCAGTAGGCAGGAATGGTGGAACAAGAGGTGAACTTCTCCTGTCAAATACTAAAGTTGTTCCATAAACTACTCGTGTTTTATGCTTGTCTCTGTGCAGTGTGGACCACAACAACAAAAAATCACCTAAATTGATTTTTGTTTCACGTTACAGAGGCAACTTGCTGAACAGTTTAGTGATCAATATTCTATCAATATTCTATGTGAGCTAAAAATAAAATAGAAATTTAGTAACTGAGTTACAATATTCTAAAAGTAATTAATTACTTGAAAAGTAACTATTGCGTTACTTTAAAAAAAAAAAAAAACGTTTAACCCACTGGGGTCCAGGGTATAATTGGCCATTTTTAACTACTTTTGATTTTCCCTCCACATTTCACCTTTAAAAATTATTTATTTGCCTTGTTTGGTATCATTCTTTTCAGCATAACCTCACGTGTCTGAATTTACAGTTATGTTTTCATTTTGACATACTGTATTAATACAATTGATCGAAAATCAGTCAAAAAACATAAAATCCGAGTAGAAAAAGTGATATTTTTACTGTAACAACCACAAACATGTTTAATGAATCATATTTGATAACTTTAAATGCAAATATAAATTGTCAATTTTAAAATCCTATGCACAAGTTTTGCAAACAACAAAGTTATTTGCATCCATTTACCTTTTACCCTTTTTAAAATAACCATTTCAAACTATTTACATAACATCAGCTGTTCTGCATTCAATAAGATGCCACACAAATTATTTGCGCCACTCCAAAAACATAATTTCTGTCCAGTGTCCACTATAAAGGAGAACATCACAGCCTGATACCTGCAGGTCTGACAGCAGCAGGTGTATCACTCCTGTCACCTTATTGTTCTGACACAACACAAAACTATACACAACACTACACACTAACTACACACTCCAAACACGCTAAACGTCACAAATCTCTCACATCTCAAAACTCGCTCTCTCTCTTTTTCTGCTCTCTCTCTCTCTCGCTGTCACTCCTAAAACTTCCCTTTTTTTTGTTTGTTTTTTTGGGTAATAAGATGCGGTAAGCTAAACACAGCTTCAGCCGTCTGTTTGTTGAAAAATAGTAACGGACTGCATTTGGCGCAGGGTGCTGCCAGTGCATCGAGCCACCTGGGGGGCTCCTCAACTGGTAGGGGGGTGTTACATCTTGCAGGAGCTCTCCTCTCTTCAGGAGCTCACTCTGCAGGAGGGGGGGATATAGGAGAGGTGGAGGAAGATCTCAGTCTGGGAGTCTATTGTCTCGTGTAGTCTGGAAGATGAGTGGATGACGTGGTGGGTACAGTTTTCTCTGTGGTGGGGTCGGGTGGGCTGTCCCGGGCTCTGTGGGGCCGGGCGGCGCTGCTGTACTGCCCCGGTCCGGATGGGCCTGGGCCGCCCTTTCCCTGG